TCTTGATTTTTCTTCTATCTCTCTGGTTGTTCTTTTCTTAGTTCTCTTTTCTGGTTATTTCCTCACTTTCTGGTCTCTAAATATTTGTCAAGATTCAGTCCTAGGCTCACTTCTCATTCCACCCTCTCTCCTCAGGCAATCCTTGTCTTTAAATACTCTGATATGTGGATTATTATTCCCTAATCTTCATTTCCAGCCAGACTGCTTTCCTGAGTTCCATAGTACAACTACTATTTTCTAGATGTTTTCACAAATATATAAAATTTAACATGTTTAATCTTTTCATCTTCTCTCCCAAGATGCTTCCTCCTTCAGGTATCCTACTTCAGTAAGTGGCACATCTATCTACCTCAGTTGCCCATGTAAAACATCTGGATATTATCATCCTTGATATCTTTCTCACTTTTCAGGTCTAATAAATGTCAAGTTCCAGCTATTGTATTTACAACATATCTATATCTTTATATTTCCTATTATACCCCATCACCTCTTACCTGGGTTATTGCAATAGCTTCCTAATTGGTTTCTTCTGCTTGTACTCTTGTCTACACAAGAGTGGTCTTAAAATACAGGAAATGTTATTTCCTACTTGCTCTGGACACAATATAAAATGCTCACTTTAGGTTCCTGCTTACTCCCACTGGCTTTCTTCTCTGTATCTCAGCCACAAACAGCCATCTCTTAACTAAGTATACTGTTATGGACTGGATGTTTGTTTCATAGGGTCTTTAGGAGGTGATAAAGGTTAAATGAGGTCATAAGGATAGGGGACCTAATCCAGCACAGCTGGTGCCCTTATAAGAAGAGTAAGAGACACCAGAGTCTCTCTTTGAACACATGCATACATGCACACACCTAGGAAAGGCCATATGAGCACAAAGCAATAAGGCAGACCTCTGAAAACCAGGTAGAGAGCTCTCACCAGAAACCAACCCTGCTGGCACCTTAATCTTGGACTTCTAGCCTCTAGAACTGTGAGAAAATACATTGCTGTTGCTCAGGCCACCTATTCTGTGGTATTCTGTAATGGCAGTTCAACCAAGCTAAGATATGCACAATTTCTTTTTCCTCTTGTGTAAATTCTTGTCAGAAAATACCACTCCCTTTTTACTTGGCTAACTTCTTATTTATTCTTTAGGCTTTAGCTTAAAGATCACTTCCTCAGAGACTGTCCTTTATTCCCTGAATTATATTATATCCCACTATTATATTCTCTTACTCTCCCCCATAAAAGTTGGTTTTTATTTGTGTACTTCTTTCATGTCTATCACTCTAGACTCAAAGCTCCACAGGCCAGGACTGTGTCTTTTATGGCTGGCACCTGGCAGGCATTTGATAAGTACTCATCCAAGAATTAATTATAATATATTACAATTGCTTGTTTTTGTTGTTTCTTTCCTCAACTAAACTAATCTCTCTTTATGCAAAATAAAACCTTGCAAGGAGGAGCTAGGTTTTATCTTTTGTAGAGTCATATAAAGTGCTAAATGTATAGTAGGTACTCTACAATGTCATAAACAATAAATGTTTGTTGTATGAGTGAGAGGCCTGGACTAGACCAGGGCCTTACACTTGAATGTGCATGCGAATCACCTGAGGATCTCAAAATTCAGATTTTAGTTCAGACAGTCTGGGGTGGCGCCTGAGATTCTGCATTTCTCATGGGCTCCCATGTAAGGCTGATGCCTCTGGTCCATGGACCATACTTTGAGTAGTAAGAGACAAGACTACCCTAAATCTTTCCTAGTTTTAACTTCATATAATTCTATAAACCACATAATTGAACAATGTCATCTGTTTAACTTATTTCAAGAGAAATAATTTCTAGGTTCCTTTTTAGTCAGTGGCATACATAAATATATTTCAGTCCTTGCATTATTTGCTATTTCCTTGAATCCTTTTTTGGGGTAATCAGGCTAAGGTTCTAATTTGTAAATCTCAAATACATACCTCAAGTCACTGTGCAGCAACTTGTTTAGTCAAGTCAGCTTCTTCCTATCCTCTCTTCTACAGAAATGGCTTCTATGCCTTTATTCCTTCAACTTCAAGGGGTTCTTTATTATTTCAGTTATGTTTGTATCAGATCTTTCAAATTACCACTAAACTTATAAAAGTTTTTTGAAATTAATTTGTTTTTCAAATATTCTTTTCTTTCATCATTATGTTGAACTATTTTAGTTCTTAACTCTCCAATATGTATACTAAATAAACATTTACTAGCTTGTAAGGTTTACAAAATTCTTCCCTCTATTTAATTTTTTTTCTTTTGACAAAAGTCTCTGGTGTATTCCAACATTAGACATTTAGTCCTGTGATTAAAACCAGAGAATCATTCATCCAACAAATATTTACTGAGCATGCTCTATGTGATAGGAACTATAAAATAAAACTTTCATGCGTGATCAATCTTGGGATGTGAAAAAATGATTACGTTGCTAGACTGGATAAGACATATCTTCAAAGAGTTTTTTGATCATGATGGACTTCCCACATACAGTGTAATATTATTATTCTGATGATCAGATCCTTATACATTTAAAAATTTAATTCAGCCACTACATTTATATTAAAAAGACAAAATGTTTTATATTTAACCAGATCAATGTAAACTTCTAACTTAAAAATAAAAATCATATAAAACTGTACAAAGGTAAGTTTGAAATTCAAAATTTAAACACTGCAAATAGTGTAACTAATGTGTTTTTTTTTTACCCTAATGCAGTAATGTATGCAACAATAACCTTAATTTTAGCTTTTCTTTCTCAGATGCTCAACTTAAAAAAGTACTTTATTCACAAGTGAGATTTTATTATGAGTATGAAAAACAAATTCTGACAACATAAATCCAAATTCAATCATAGAAAAGGGTGGCTATTTTGTAGTCAGTTTATATAAAAATATTACTGTTTAAGACAAGTAGTTACCACTATCAAATGAGCAACTACCACATTCATAACCACACAAAAGAATAAGCTCTCTAGACTTAAGCATTTTTACTTTCACTGGAATTCTGAATCTTGGGAGGGTCCTTCCATCCTAGGTTCATGATTAGATTATCAAAGGTATAAATTATTGAGATAAACTAATATGCAGTCATGTATTATTATTAATATAATTAAGTCCATGAAAAAATTATGTGAAAGTAAACAGATATGTGAAAAGTGAATACGTAACATATCTACAGAATATGGCTGAACATTAAAATATGTCTATTGAAATTGCTTTGATATGGGTATAAAAGAGTTGAGAGGACTGTTCGGCTGGTGTGGCTCAGTGGCTGAGTGTTGACCCATGCATCAAGAGGTTACCGGTTTGATTCCCAGTCAGGACACATGGCCAGGTTGTTGGCCTGATCCCCAGTGGGGAATGTGCAGGAGGCAACCAGTCGATGTTCTCTCTCATCAATGTTTCTATCTCTTTCTCCCTCTCACTTCCTCTCTCTCTCAAATCAATAAAGAAAAAAAAATTTTAAAAAAAAGTTGAGAGGACTAAATATCTTAATGAGTAAAATCTCATTTAGATGTATTATTTCCTTTCTATTCCTAATCTTAGCAAATATCACATTTTCTATTTAAATCTCAATTTTATTCTTAATAGAAACTTACATAGTATCCTGTAGAATTCACTATTATGCAGTTACTTTTTGTAGTTATTTATTTATTTATTTTTTAATTTTATTTTTATTTATTTTTTTTGTTCAGGTAGAGTGGGAGGGAGAGAGAGGAACAGAGAGAGAGGGAGAGAAACATCGACGTGAAAGAAACACATCGAGTGGCTGCCACCCACACAACCGACCAGGGCCGGGGACAAACTGCAACCGAGGTACGCGCCCTTAGCGGGAACCGAACCCGGGTCTCTCAGGACCGCAGGCCGACACTCTAACCGCTGAACCAAACCGGCCAGGGCAGTTATTTAAATACATATACATATAGCTGATATATAAACTCAGTTATTTAACCTATCTATTTCTCTAATTAAAAGTTACGGTTAAAGAAATGAAGAGATAGCTAAACAAGTTTCACATTTCATTTACTAGAATTAGGAAATAATAACATTAAAGGTAATATTGATTTTTAAAAAATCAATATTATCCTCACCTGAGGATATTTTTCTGTTTATCTTCAGATAGAGTGGGAGAGAGGGAGAGAGAGAGAAACATCGACTGGGTTGACTCCTGCATGACCCTGACCAGGGCCAGGACCAACCGCAACCGAGGTACATGCCCTTGACCGTAATCAAACCCGAGACTCATTGGTCCTCCCGATGCTCTAACCACTGAACAAAACTGGCCAGGGCAAAGGTTATATATATTTTAAGTTGTCCTCTTTTGCTAATTTTGTGGAGAAAGGTGTCACTACAATTCACTATAAAAAGATTTATAGCCCTGGCCAGTTTGGCTCAGTGGTTGGAGCGTCTGCCTGCAGACCAGAGAGTCCCGGGTTCGGTTTCCGCTAGGGGCATATACAAAAAAAAAAAAAAAAGATTTACAAGTCTACACTGATAAATATAACTCTCTAAAGGGCTGTAGGATCATGTTTTAAAATCTCAAAGATAAGAAAGTGAAAAAAGCACTGGGTGGTTTGGCTCAGCAGTTAGAGCGTCAGCCCATGGACCAGTGAGTTCCCGCTTCGATTCTGGTCAAGGATACGTACCTCGGTTATGATTTGTCCCTGGCCCTGGTTGCTGGTTGGGGTTGTTTGGGAGGCAGCTATTCGATGTGTCCCTTTCACATCAATGTTTCTCTCTCTCTCTCTCTCCCCCTCCCTCCATCCCTCCCACTCTACCTGAACAAAAATAGAAAAATGTCCTCTGGTGAGGATAAAAAAAAAAAAGGAGAAAGTGAAAAAGGTTTAAAACAAAGCCTACTAGGTGACTCAGCAAATAAAAGATGTAAAAGAAACAATTTAATAAAAGTGCAGACTTCTGTTTCTCTTTGTAAATAAATCTTTGACAACTGTCAATGCTTTATGTGATTTCTAAGTAGTAATTAGGATTTTCTTGTGCTTGCTTTGGCAGCACATATACTAAAATTGGAATAATACAGAGAAGATTAGCACGGCCCCTGTTCAAGGATTACACAATCTGTGAAGCATTCCATATTTTAAAAAAAAGAAAAAGAAAAAGAAAAGAGATTTTTCTTAGGAGAGGCAATACACTTAGTAATGAAAGCATATCATTTCTGCTAGGGTCTTGATTTCTAAATACCATTCCTCACTAAAGGGAGCCAGGGCTCCTTGGAGAAAGAGCTGATTCCAAAGCAGAGAAAGTACAAAATGAATCCAAAAGATCTGGTTGTTCCATCAATAAGAAAGCACTCAATATATAAAAAAAGATGGGGCATGAAAACAAATCACAGGAGTCAGCTAAAAGCACTTCCATTGGCCAAAACTCAGATAATGTAAGCATGAAAATAAATAAGAAAAATAAGGGAGTGTAACTCATTAAATAAATTAGGAATCTCTAAGTCCACTCCAATGATAGATAGATAAATGGAGGAGAAGGGGAGATCTTCCTTACAACGGAATGCCAACTGATACATGTGGAGGATAGGGCTGACATATTTTCATTTTGAAACCATCGTAGTAAAATCAGGTTTGGCATGGATCATCAATAGACACTAAATCTAAGGTTGTGGAGGTGAGGGGAGTTTGATGGGGAGCAGGATGTTTGTATAATCTCAAAATGTCTCTCCAGAGATGCATTTTTAGTTGAAGAGAAGAAAAGTAACTAGTTATTAGAGAAAGTTGACAACACCTCGACTAGGTTATCAAAATTAACATCACTAGAGTCCTTGAATGTAATTTCCTGAGGAGGTCACAGGCTAGTTATTCTGGGCAAAGATACATTATCTAAATTTAATAATGATGAGATGTGAGACAAATCCTAGTCGAGTATGGACATTCCAGGTATACAGACTACCATGAGCAAAAGGCCAAAGGTAGGCAAGTGTGGCGTGCATGTGTGTTGGGGATATTTTTAGAAAATAACGAGTAGCTTAGTTTAGCCAGGGCAAAGAATCCCTAGAAGACAAGGTGAGGGAGGGAGGAATAAAATTATAAAGATTGGTTGAAGTTATAATGTGGAGGATTTTGCATGTAGGCTGAGATTTCTGTATTTAAATTTAACAGAGTATATAAAAATTGATTTTACTCTATATGAATAGTAAAGAAAGCTGTAAAGAAAAATGTAGTAAGATCAATACACAAATAGTTTTTCAGGAAGAATTTCAACATGGTACTGAATATGAAAGTCTATTTTCATTCTTCTATTCATGCAATTGACTGAGCACTGACCATGGCCCAGCACAGGGCCAGGTGCTGGTGCTACTGCGGTAAGACAGACTTAGCCCCTTCACTCTTGGAGCTTACAGTCCTGGAGCTTTTGCTTAGGCTACCTTTGGTTTCAAATGGTTTCTTGTTCCAATGCGTAACTGTTACAGGTTTTCTTTCCTTGGTTCCCCACTGTTAAGGGTAAGGCAGCACTTATCATACTTTCTCAGTATAATCAGCTGGAGTTATAATGTATTTTAGGTAATGTTTTTATGGAAACACTGTGTACAGAGGTGATGATAGTTAGAAATTTAGATTTATTTTAATTTTTAATTTTTTTTTAGAAATTTAAAAACAGCCCTGGCCGGTTTGGCTCAGCGGTTAGTGTCGGTCTGTGGTCCAGAGAGACTTGGGTTCAGTTCCCGCTAAGGGCACGTACCTCGGTTGCAGTTTGTCCCCGGCCCTGGTTGGTCGTGCGGGTGGCAGCCACTCGATCGATGTGTTCCTTTCATGTCGATGTTTCTCTCTCTGTCTCTCTCCACCCCCCCTACTCTATCTGAACAAAAAATGGAAAAATGTCCTCGGGTGAGGATTAAAAAAAAAACAAAAAAAAGAATTTGAAGTCATTCCTAGAGGAGTCATTCATAGAAAGACAGAAAGTGGAATGGTAGTTGCCAGGGACTGTGGGAGAGGGGAAATGGGAAGTTTGTGTTTAATGGGTAGGGAGTTTCAGTCTGGGAAGATGAAAAAGTTCTGGAAATAAATTTGTGGTGATGGTTGCCCAACAATGTTAATGCACTTAATGACACAGAACTGTGCACTAAAAATATAGTAAATATTATGTATATTTTATCACAATTAAAAAATAATTTAAAGTTAATCACAATCACAGCCAATATTTATATTAGTACTCACGAAGGAGCAATATCCAGGTGGTTGATGCTAAATCCAGAAGAGCAAAAGCCTCCCAGTGTTGTTGATATGGTTAGGAATGCCACAGCCAGAGAATAATCACAACCTATAAACCCAGCAGCTACCAGGAATACTGCAGGCCCAATCATTCCTGAAGTTAAAAGGTTATAAAAAGAAAAGAAGCCCCAGCATTAATATTTGCTTGCTCTACCTTAATACAGCATAAATCTGAGATTTGATATTACTGCCACCTACTGTACAAATATTATACTGCCTAGAATACTAAATTTAAATTATCTAGTTTCATGAAAAAACTTGCGGAAAACATATAAGCATAATGCAACTAATATAAAAGTACAAGGAAAATCTCATTATGCAATGCCCCTAAATCTATATGAGACCAAGACTCAGCTTAAGTTCTACAATGTTAGAGAAAAGAGCAGGAAGAGAATGCTTGAAAAATATGGTTCCAGAGAGAGGCAAATAGTTGATACAGAGTGTGATTTAAAATTCAAAGAAAATAAACTAAATTATAGTAAGCTCTGTTGGATAAAGTTAGAAAAACACTCCATCTTGGTTTTAACAATAGAAAACAATATGCATAGTCTCTTATAGGCAGTTAGGCATAGAACACATGTAACATAGGAAGGGACTTAAATGAGTGGGCTGTCATTTTTTCTGTCTGCAGCAGTACAATCCTATAACTCTCTGTGAGGATAGAATTGTTGTATTTGCAAAATTAACGTCAAGAAATCGACGGCATTCTTATACACCAATGATGAATTCACAGAAAAAGAAACTAAAAGAAAAAATCCCATTTACCATTGCAGCAAAAAAATTAAGATACCTAGGAATAAACTTAACCAAAGAAGTGACGGACCTATTTGCAGAAAACTACGGGACATTGAAAAAAGAAATAGAGGAAGATATAAAAAAGTGGAAGCACATACCTTGTTCATGGATTGGAAGAATTAACATCATTAAAATGTCCATACTACCTAAAACAATCTACAGATGCAATGCAATCCCCGTCAAAATACCAATGACATATTTCACCGAACTAGAACAAATACTTCAAAAGTTCATGTGGAACCAAAAAAGACCCTGAATAGCCACAGCAATCTTGAAAAAGAAGGACAAAGTAGGCAGGATCACAATACTGGATATCAGGTTATACTACAAAGCTACTGTAATCAAAACAGCCTGGTACTGGCACAAGAACAGGCACATAGATCAATGGAATAGAACAGAGAACCCAGAAAATTGACCTAAAACATTATGCTCAATTACTATTCAACAAAGGTGGCAAGAGCATACAGTGGAGTAAAGACAGCCTCTTTAATAAATGGTGCTGGGAAAATTGGACAGCTACATGCAAAAAAATGAAACTAGACCATCAACTTACACTATATACAAAAATAAACTCAAAATGGATAAGACTTAAATGTGACTCGTGAATCCATAAAAATCCTAGAAGAAAATGTAGGCAACAGCCCTGGCCTGTTTTGCTCAGCGGTTAGAGCATCAGCCTGCAGTCCAGAAAGACCCGGGTTCGGTTCCTGCTAAGGGCGTGTACCTTGGTTGCAGTTTGTCCCCGGCCCTGGTTGGGTCGTGCGGGTGGCAGCCACTCGATGTGTCCCTTTCACATCGATGTTTCTCTCTCTCTCTCTCTCCCTCCCACTCTAGTTGAACAAAAATGGAAAAATGTCCTTGGGTGAGGATAAAAAAAAGAAAAGAAAGAAAATGTAGGCAACAAAATTTCAGACATCATACACAGCAGAATTTTCACTGATACATCACCTAAGGCAACAGAAACAAAGGAAAAAATGAACACATGGGACTATATCCAACTAAAAAGCTTCTGCACATCAAAAGAAACAACCATCAAAATGGAAAGGCAACCCACTGTATGGGAGAGCATAATTGCCAATGATACATCAGATAAGGGGTTAATTTCCAAAATATATAGAGTGCTAATACAACTCAACAAAAAGAACCCAATTAAAAAATGGGCAGAGGAGCTGAATAGATACCTCTTCAAACAGGACATACAAATGGCCAAGAGACATATGAAGAAATGCTCAACATCACTAATCATCAGAGAGATGCAAATTAAAACAACAATGAGGTATCACCTCACACCTGTCAGAATGGCCGCCATCAACAAATCATCAAACAACAAGTGTTGGCGGGGGTGTGGAGAAAAGGGGATTCTAGTACACTGCTGGTGGGAATGCAGACTGGTGCAGCCACTATGGAAAACAATATGGTGTTACCTCAAAAAATTAAAAATTGAATTGCCATTTGACCCAGTGATCCCACTTCTAGGAATATACCCTAAGAAGCCTGAAACACCAATCAGAAAGAATAGTGTACCCCCATGTTCATAGCACTATTTACAATATCTAAGATCTGGAAACAGCCCAAGTGTCCATCAGCAAACAAATGGATAAAAAAGCAGTGGTACATATACACAATGGAGTATTATGCAGCTGTAAGAAAGAAAAATCTCTTATCCTTTGAGATGACATGGAGGGACCTGGAAAGTATTATCCTAAGCGTAACAAGCCCAGCAGAGGAAGACAAATATTATATGATCTCACTTATTTGTGGAATATAATGAACATAACAGTGTGAAGAACAGGGTAGTCCCAGAGACGTGGAAGTAGGGTATAGACAATCCCCAGAAGAGGAGGTGGGGGGTGGGGTGGAGAGATAAACCACAGAACTTATATGCATGTACACATAACCAATGGACATAGACAGCAAAGTTGGGGATGGGGCGGTGAGGGATGCAGAGAAGAGTGTCAATGGGGGAAAATGGAGAAACATCTGTAACAACAACAAAAAAATTGTGGTATTTGTATATACTGCAACTGCAACTGAGAAACTTAGTTTTAAATTGCAATTAAATTTAAATAGCGACATCTGGCTGGTGGCTACCGTACTGAACAGAGCAGGTCCACAGAAAGCCAAAAAAGAGATAGGCCTCTTATTATTTTTTTTAATCTAAAGGGATTTGTTTCACTTGAAAATGTGGAATAATTTCTTGAGAGTTGAAGTAAGTAGTGGAACAGTACATCAACTTTCAGTGGTACATGCCCAGAGTTGTTTACAGAATTATCCCAAATGATCCTATTTGGGATAATTCTGTAAACAAATGTACTACATGCATTAAAATATACTGTTTTAATATGTGAACAAAATCAATGACTAATATTATTGTGTGTACTTTGCCTTACACTGTAAACACAGTAAATAATTGTGAGCCAAAACAAAACCCAATTCACTTCACTTACCTATAAGGCTAAAAACTCTGCGAACACATATAGTTGAAAAATTCCATTTTGCTCTTAAATGGTCAGCAGCTTGACCAGACATGATCATACATAACCAACAGCCAAAATAAGGCACTGCAGATAAAATCCCATTCTGGGAGGAATAGAAAGATACAGGATTAATTATGGTGGGAGGAAGAACCAAAATGCATACACACTCATATCTACCACTCAGAAACAAAGGAAATCATACCAAAAAACTATTGATTTTTTTTTTTTTTTTATCCTCACCCGAGGACATTTTTCCATTTTTTGTTCAGGTAGAGTGGGAGGGAGAGAGAGGAACAGAGAGAGAGAGAGAGAGAAACATCGATGCAGGGCCGGGGACAAACTGCAACCGAGGTATGTGCCCCCAGCGGGGACCGAACCCGGGTCTCTCAGGACCACAGGCCGACGCTCTAACCGCTGAGCCAAACCGTCCAGGGCAAAAAAACTATTAATTTTTATATAGTTATAGTAAATAAGTTTGGTTTGTAGAAGGATTTTAGAATTCAGTTCAGTGCAGTCCCATAGTCCAATCTGCTCAAGGCAATCTTGAATGTTATTTTGGGACTTGGGCTATAGCTTCAGCGAGAGACAAGTCTTCCTATTAGCCTGTGGATTTTCCCCACCAAACAGTTTCTGTCTTCAATTTTCACTTATTTATTTTTAAAATATTTTGATTATAAAATAAAACAGATACAGAAAACACATAAATCAAATGTATATCTTAATGAATTATTCTTAAGTGAGCACCATCTAGATCAGGAGACTGGTGCACTAGCACATGCTTTGAGCAGAGGACAAAGGCTGCGACTGAGAGACACTCTATCTCTTCCTTTAAGTTACCACCTAAACAAAATGAAAACACCAGGAGATATGAAACAGAATTCATCATGGAAATGTGTTATTTTCTGTGTGGGAAAGCTTTTTAGGAAATTTTACAAATTCTGTAAAATAAGTAACACACACTCAGAAAAGAAGAAAATTTTTTCTGCTATTCATTTTTCCTCAGCACAAACCTGGGGTGCAAAGACTAATTCTGATAAAAACAAGTGTGTTTTTATCACAAAGGCAGAAAGATATTTTATCAGTGATATTTAAATCTTGTAATAATTCCATTTAAGCATTACTCATGGTGCAGACCAGAAAAATTTAATATTTTAAATTTAAGTGTGCTTAGGATAATATTTTATTTCTTTCAGTATAGTTTGTGGTTTTCTGTATTCAGATGTTGTATGCTTCCAGGTCTTCTGTAATTGAAAATTTTTCTTTCTTTCTGGTATTATGCTGTGTAATTTCCTCTTTACATTTTATTCCATTTAGATTTTTGCATAGTGGGATGACATCTATCATTACTTGTGGCAGAATCCGACACATGAATACACTGTAGCAAATAGAGAAGTGAATATTTGGACCTTGTTCTTGTTCCTTGGTGGAATAAGGCTGATAGTTCATCAGAGTTACTAAATTTTTCCTAAAACTACAAAAATCTTCAACATTTATTCATTCCATGGGCATCTCTATAGTTATTAAGCTTTCTGTGCAAGGATACGATTCCTTGTATTCATTTATTTAAAAAATTGATCTCAAAATATTAATATCTAAAATAGGATAATAGATAGTCCCGCAACTCTCACTGAATTGTAAGAAATAGGGATGCCGAAATTGGAAAAAAGTAGGAAAAAAGAAAAGTGAGGATAATTAATGAAATGAAACTTACATAAAAAAGCAAGCTTAGCCAAGCCGGTGTGGCTCAGTGGTTAAGCATCGACCCATGCACCAGGAAGTCGCCGGTTTGAATACCAGTCAGGGCACATGCCCAGGTTATGGGCCCGATCCCCAGTGGGGGGCATGCGGAAGGCGGCCAATCTATGTTCTCTCTCATGGATGTTTTTATCTCGCTCTCCCTCTCCCTTCCTCTCTCTTGAAAATCAATAAAGGAAAAAAAAAAAAGCAAGCTTATAACAAAAGATCAAGAGCTTTAAAAATTTTAATTAATGAGAGACTGTAATTTTAAATGCAAAGCTTCTCAAAGCAATCTTTATACTAAGCAAAGGCCATTTCATGAATGTAATATATTGATTTTTAAGAAAAAAATCCATGTTAGAAAGAGGCTTCCATGGGGTCAAATATATGATGATGGATGAAAACTAGACTTTTGGTGTTGAACATGCGATAGTGTGTACAGATATCAGATTATAATGTTGTATACCTGAAACTTATATAATGTTATTCATCAATCTTACTTCAATAATAAAAAAGTCTTCTATATAAGTAGAGAATTATTGTCAAACTCTATTCACATTTCTTTTAATATTGATTCAGAAAGAAAATGCCTTTTGTTTATATAAAAATACAAGATAAAAGATTTTTGTTTTAAAGTCTTTCATTATAGAACTTTAAAAAATCCATAAAAAATAGATAAAGGCAATTAAGTGCACAACAGTAATTACTGGTCAGCTATTGATATTTCATTCTTTTCATAGTTCTCCCAGGAAAATATCAAATGGAAACATCAGTGGAATAATCTTGAGATTTGCATGCAATTCATCACTGTAGTAGATTAGTCAGGTTCTAACAGATAATCAAGGTTGCTCACAACAAATCCATCCCATGCTACTGCCAAAGCCTTGTTTCTGTTTAACTTCTGTCAGTGCCACTTGTGAATATATTTTGGTATAACTGATCTTGCTTTTCAAAAGTAGGCAGAGGAGTTCTTCATAGCTCAGCTGCCTGGGTGAAGTTCAAGGTCTGGTCCACAAGGCCAATATTTTTGGTATGCTTTGCAAGACAGGTGCTGAAGGTACACTTTAACAATGTTTAAAGCTGGTTACGTCCATGTAGTCAAGTTTCCCAGTCAGTCTTGCTACCTTTACAGTCACCATCCAGGCTTCTTCTTCACTCCTAGGGTGTCAGGGCCCAGGGCAGGCCACCCCAAGTAATCCCACAATAGTATATTGATTATTTTGAACTAAAATCACTTGAGAAGCAGCAGGAATGGAAGGAGCTCTTTGACTCCTCTGTCTCCCTAAAAGCAGGAAATAAATCTCCATGTGATAGGTGCTTTCTTTGCTCCTGAGAAACAACCTTATCACAAGGGTTAAAAAATCCAGAGTTTAAAAGCCTGTATAAGGGGAGACGGGGACATCTGTAATACTCTCAACGATTAAGATTAAAATAAAAAGTTTTATAAGCCTGTAAAAACAAACCCTGTAAAGTCTTTACCAATTTACTACCTAAGACCAAGCCTTGCTAAGATTTCTTACTAATGAGCACTTCCTTTCTCCTGTCCATTTCTCATAAATTTATTGTTTCTTTGTCTAAAAAATACAAAAAGGTTCCTGGTTCTATCAGTTCTTTGAGTCTCATTTTATGATCTGAGCCTCATATGGTGATTCCCCATGTGTATGTACTAAACTGGTTTTTCTCTTGTTAATCTAGTCTTGTGTTAATGTTATGATTTATTACTAGTCCAGCCATAAGAACTAAAGAAGCATAAAAGGTGGAGAATTCTCCCCTTTCCCCGACAGTTTGGGTGAGCCAGTCAGGAAACCTTACCACTGGGAAAAACTGCCTTTTTCTGGGACTATGGCAGCTAAGAGATCCTTGGGAAAGGTGACAATGAGATGGCAAACAGGTAAACTTTTTCTTACCTTGTCAGCCTCCCAGAATCTCTGTCTGCAGGGTCCAATGGAAAACAAGGTGATGAGAATTTTATTGTTTCTTTCTAAATGTAGATGAGCAGGAAAGTTAGAGAGTTTCTTTCACTCCTGCTGCTTCTCAAGTGATTTTAGTTTAAAATAATCAATATGCCATTGTGGAATATCTTGGGGTGGCCTGCCCTGGACCCCAACAAGGGCTATCTTTTACTTTGTGGCTGAGTGTTATTCCATTTTATGAATATACCATCTTTTTTTTTAGGTTGTTTCCACTTTTTGAGTAATGCTCTTATAAACATTTGTGTACATGTATTTGTGTGGACATATGTTTTCAATTCTCTTGGGATAGATCTAGGAATGGAATTGCTAAGTCATATGATAACTTTGTGTTTAACTTTTTTTTGAGGAATCAACAAACTCTTTTCCACAGCGGCGACATTGTTTTACATTCCCACCAGTAATGTATGAGGGTTTCATTTCCTCTACTTCCTCAACAACACTTGTTCTTTTCTTTTTAAAATTCTAATAGGTGTGAAGTGGTATATGGTTATGATTTTCATTTACATTTCCCTAATGACTAATGGTGTTGGGCATGTTTACATGGGCTTATTGGCTATTTGTGCCTCTTTGGAGAAATGTCTAGTCAAATCCTTTGCTCATTTAAAAGTGGGGTTGTCTGTTTATTATTGAGTTTTAAGAGTTCTTTATATATTGTGGGTACTAGACCCTTATCAGATATATGTTTTGCAAACATTGTCTCCCATTCAGTGGGTTTTCATTCTTGACAGTGTCCTTTATGATGCACAAAAGTTTTTAATTTTGCCCTGGCTGGTTTGGCTCAGCGGTTAGAGCGTCGGCCCATGGTCCAGAGAGACCCAGGTTCGGTTCCCGCTAAGGGCACGTACCTCAGTTGCAGTTTGTCATGGGCGCCGGTTGGGGTTGTGTAGGAGGCAACCACTCGATGTGTCCATTTCATGTCAATGTTTCTCTCTCTCTCTCTCTTCCTCTCTCTCCCTCCCACTCTATCTGAACAAAAATGGAAAAATGTCCTTGGTGAGGATTAAAAAAAAAAAATTTAATTTTGATGAAGTACAACTCACCTATTTTTCACTTCAGTTACTTGTGCTTTTGGTGTTATATGTAAGAAACTTGCCTAGTTCAAGGTCACAGGGATGTATATTTTCTAGGAGTTATATCATTTTAACTCTTTCATTTAGGTCTTTGATCTATCCTTCAATTTGAAAGCAAAAATACTGTCAATTTTCCTTACAAACTGTGCCTCTTTTCTCTTTAGGCTTTTCCTCAATCTCTTTATTTTTTTATAACAACATAATTTTCTTTATACTTTAAAAAAATATATTTTTATTGATTTTTTTGGAGAGAGACTGAAACATCGATGTGAGAGAGAAACCCTGATCGGCTGCCTCCCGCACGGCCCTTACTGGGGATCAAGCCCGCAACCTGGGCATGTGCCCAGGTTGGGAATTGAACCAGGACCTCTCAGTCCATGGGACGACACTTAATCCACTGAGCCTCACTGGCCAGTTTCCTCAATCTCTTTAAAGACAAAATCCATCAGTGTACATAGAGATAATAGGAACTACCTCAGTTGATGAGTTCAAAGGAACTGGCAGTTTCAGGAAGGTCCTTCGTATACAGCTTTACAACGATAGCCCTTCCGGTGCCTAAACGATGCTGCAGAGTGGTCTCTGCACAAGAACCTTGCACCTCCCAACTCCTCCTCAGCTGCCAGCAGTCCCACACCATCCCTCAGAGAAGTGAATACTGGTGCCACTTGAAGTTGTCATCAGATATCCTGGCATGTTACTAGGAGGACTTTATGGTTAAAGGAGTCCCAGCCAAAAGATATCCCGAATTAAGAGTTTACACACACTGAGAAAAGAAAGAACAACTGTGAAGCCAAAAGATAAGTCTCTGAAGTTTAGTATAGTAGAGTAAAATGGAAGATACAAAATAACTGAATTTCATATGGCTAAAAACAAATTCTGTGTGTAGTTTAAAATCTATACTCTGTATAAGAAGTATATGATTATATTTTCTTACCTCTTGAACATTGAACCTTAGGATCTCTTTCATATAAGTAGGCAATAATGTCAGCAAAGTATAAAAAATCCAGTTATAAGAAAAGTGTGCAACAACAATAGCCCAAAGTGGCAGGGATTTTAGGATGGGTATCCACGGCACTGATTTCTGTGAAGAAAGCTGAAAAAACAAACCAAAACAAAAAAAACAGGCACATTTAGGATAAGCTACAGTTATGTTTTGCCATGTTTGGATCTGTACCTTATCAGCTATAATTCCATCTAGAACACATTATCAGCCTTGATTAGTAAATTCCAATTTTTTAAACCAACTCTTTTAAATTATTAAATAGTAATAAAAAGTCCATTTTCAGATTTGAAGAAATGTAATTAGAGTGATAATGTTAACCTCAAACACTTCTTTTGAATGGTAGAAGTCACCTGCAATATTAATTTCTCCATCTGTAAATTAGAGAACAGTTTCATAATCACATTCAGAGGTTGGCATAAGGAAGGGCAAATGAAAGAGACTGCAAGCCCTATTAGAATTTGTATTTCATTATACAGTCTTTATTATTAAATTACAATGATTTATAAGAACTGTGCAACAGGAGGGTTTTTTTTAATGGAGCTATCTGGAATAACAGTCTTTAAAGTAGGGTATAAGTACCCCAGGGATATGTAAGAATGCAAGATGATCCACCAGGGTGTGGAGAGACATATTAGAACTTTTATCTATACTCACTTTTACTCTAAAAAAGGAAATTAAACTATTAATATTTGATGAGTAGCTTGGCCCTGAAGTATGTCAGGTGTAAAAGAATAACAGCAAAATGAGTTGATATTGTCAGGAGAGCAATCTAAAATGGAGAGGGGAAGCCTCCAGCAAGCTGAATTAATATACTCCCTCCTGTAGTTAATACACTACATCCTGATACAGCTCCTGGAAATGACTCTGCATCACTAAACTCTCTTTTAAAATATAAAATTTCCACCTAGCAATAGATATAAGCAATTAATCATGTATAGTACAGTGTAAGTCTGCTTGCCAGCATCAATCACAGCTCTTTCAAAGCAACTTGCATAACCCTTCGGGAGCCCCTCTATTTCTATCCTTATATTCTATCCCTTTTATCTTTCTTGGAACACAGTAGGGTTTCTATTCAAATCTGTGTCTTCAAGATTTGCAATTCCTAAAACAAACAAACAAACAAACACACAAACAAATAAAGTTTTTATTTGCCTTGTAGCTCTTGGTTAAAATTGATTGACACAGACAATCATATACCGTGTGATTTCCCCAGTTCAAAGGGGTTAACCGTGTCCTAACTTGTTTGTTTGCCCTCTGTGCATTATAGCATATTATGGTTTATACCTGCCTTTTAAAGTGGATTTATGAATTTTATCGGCAAGTTTTAATTAAAACAAATCTCACAAAATCAAGAGTGTCTTAAAAAGATAGTTATAAAGAGTCAATAGCCTGGCTGGTGTGGCTCAGTGGACTGAGTGTCATCCCATGTACCAAGAGGTCACCAGTTCAATTCCTGGTCAGGGTACCTACCCATGTTGAGAGCCTGATCCCCAGTAGGGGGCATGCAGGAGGCAGCTGATCAATATTTCTCTCTCAAGTTAATGTTTCTATCTCCCTCTCCCTTCCTCTCTCTCTCTAAAAAATCAATAAACACATACACACACACACACACACACACACACACACACACACACACATATAAAAGAGTCAATAGAAAGGAATTCTAATAATGTAAGCACAAGGAACAATAAGAAAACAGTAGAGCTGACACTTCCTCCTATGAGTTCGTCAACTGCCTCATCAAGCAAAATAATGGCAGACTCATCAAATACAACATATTCAAACACACTGCTCTCATTAAATAACATTATTATTACTAATTTTTAAGTGATAAAAAGGTTTATTGCATTTTTTCACCTTAAAAGGCTATTTTTATATTTTTATAGTGTACATAACTACAGTAGTATATGTAGATAACCTATGAAAAAATATATATACGCAAATTGTTAGCCCCCCCCACTGTTCTATTTTTATTTATTTTTTTGTTATTCTTACCTGAGGATATTTTTCCATTGATTCTTAAATAGAGTGGAAGGAAGGAAAGGAGTGAGAGAGAGAAACATTGATGTGAAAGAGACACATCAACTGGTTGTTGGGGATCGAACCTGCAACCCAGGTATGTGCCCTTGACCAGGAACTGAACCTAAAATTCTTCGGTCTGAGGGCTGATGTTCTAACTTCTGAGCCAAACTGGCCAGGGCACCCCCCTCACTGTTTTATTGATGCATGATCAAGAAAACCTGGAACACCCCAATATTTTTAAAAAAAGAAAACCCGGAGACCACTGGTCTGGGGCATCCATTACATTTTCTATATGTGGTTTCTTTATCAAAATCTAGAGCAATCTATGTTTCTGCCTCCAGGGTTCACTCTTATTTCAAAAAGAGGAAAAACCAGTATTAACCTTCTTACAGAAAAAGTATCTTTTTCCTAGGTACTTTTTTTCTTTTTAAATCCTCACCTGAGGATATTTTTCCATTTATCTTCAGATAGAGTGGGAGGGAGGGAGGGATGGAGAGAGGGAGGGAGAGAGAAATATTGATGTGAGAGAGAGACATCAACAGGCTGCCTCCCGCATGACCCTGACCAGGCCAAAGACAAACTGCAACTGAGGTACGTGCCCCTGACCAGAATCAAACCTGCGACTCTCTGGTCCACAGGCTGACGTTTTAACTGCTGAGTCAAACCGGCCAGGGCATAGGTACTTTTTATTTGACTTGGTAGCTATGCTCTTGTGTTCTCCACTATATATCAACAATGTAGGAGATATGGGGGAAGAGAAGGAGAGGGAACACTTACTCTTATACAGCAGTGGTTGTTAATTCCAGCTATGCTTCAGTATCACCTTTGACATTCAAAAAATACAGATGGCTGTACTCTACCCCAGGTCTATTGAATCCAAACAAAAACAAAACCTCTGAGTGCAGGGCCAAGGTGTATATTCTAAAAGGCTTCATTGGTGATTCTATAAAGCAATGGTTCCCAACCTTGCTGTATGTTAGAATCACGTGGGGAGCTTAAAAAACCTTGAGGCCAAGATCATACCCCAGACCAATTAAACCAGGTTGGGGGTGGGTATGAGGTAGGTGGCAGTATTTTTCTTTTAAAGATACCCAGGGGATTTCAATGTGTATCAAAATTTGGGACCCACTGCTATAGAGATTAAAGAAGTCTGCAACCTTCCCTTCCACCCCCATTATTTGAAAAGCTCAGAGACAAGAGGAAGTACAAGACCAGTCTAGAGGTTTTGGAGTTTAAAGGAATTTGAAACACAGATCTTTTTATGTGGCTTTGAAACCCACAAAGAAAATGAATCACACTTCTGTGTTGAAAGGTACAAGTTTAAATGTATCTGACCTCTGGAAACTAAATATATTCTGAATAATATATCAGCCTCCCGAAAAGATGAACTTTAGTGTGAAATATATAATAATTTTAAGATTCCTGCTGTATGTACTTGCAAGTATTGACAGTGGTGTTTTATTTTATTTATTTAGTTTTTAGAGAAAGGAAGAGAGAGAGAGAAGCATCAATCTGTTGTGCACCGCAATGAACCTGCCACCTTTCAATGTATGGGATGATGCTCTGGGAGGATGCTCCAACCAACTGAACCACAATGACCAGGGCTTGACAATGCAGTTTTAGAAGAACACATGGCTCTGATAATAGCTTTTGTAGTGTTTCACTAGTATTTAGGCATAATCTTGTTTGTAAAAATGAAGCAAATTTAGCCATACTGGCATAATTTTCACAGCCTATAAATATCAACTGAATTTTTGATAATCTGATGTTTTTTTTGAGAATCACCCAACCAAGACCAGCTACAAGTGGAGAGTGACATCAGCAAGATGGCTGAATAAGATGTCTTGACTCATTTGGCATCCATACACAGATAAAGGTGCTTTTATGGGAGCTGTGGGACCCAACACCATTTGCTAAGGGACCTGGGAGGATTCTTTACACCTGTGCATTGGGTAAAAGACATATAGAACTTGGTCCCAGCTGTGAACCCTGAAGGTGTTGTGAACCAGCTTCAGCTCCTTTTGGCTGAGGTTTGGGAGCCCTTGGAGAATACTGACTTAGACAATCAGCCACAGACAAAAAAAATCCTGCCATTTGCAGCATGAATGGACCTTCAGGGTATTATGCTAAGTGACACAAATCAGACAGAAAAAGACAAACAATGTATGATATAATATGTGGAATTAAAAAAAATAAGGAATTTATAGAAACAAAGTGGAATGGTAGTTGCCAGTGGCTGAGGGGTGGGGGAAATGTTGGTCAAAGGGTACAAATTTCCAGTTATAAGATGAATAAATTCTGGGAACCTAATGTACAACATGGTGACTAAAGTTAATAATACTGTGTTGTATACTTGAAAGTTGCTAAGAGAGTAGATCTTAAATGTTCTCTTCATAAAAAAGAAATGGTAGTTATGTGAGGTTTGGAAAGAATATGATATGCACATGTTACAGCTTAGTATTCATTTGTAAATTGGGTACATAACAACAGTTTTCTTTTCTCCCAATAAGAACTGTGAGATCAATTTATAGTATTTCCACATTATAAGTTATGTTTCAAGGAAGAAAAATCTTCATTTATAAAAACATTCAAGTCAAAATGGAATTTTAAAATGTTTCTAGGAGAAATTATCCGGCAGACACTAAAAAATTCTTCAAGGTTTTAAGATAGTGCTAATAGAACTTTCTACAATGATGGAAATGTTCTGTATCTGTGTTTCTCTGTGTAGTAACCGGTAGCAACATGTAGCTATTAAGCCCTTGCAATTTGGATAGTGCAAAAGAGGAACTACATTTTTAATTAAATTGGTTGAAATTAAAATTTAATAGCCACGTGGGCTAGTGATTACCATAATGGATGACACAGGTTTAAGGTAAGACCTTAATAAAGTACAAAACAGCTTATTCTGACATTCTAGATCTAGAAATTCTCTTGCTATTGTTTCTAAAATATTACTGTTAGAGAAGACTTGTGAATCAAGCATTGTCCACACATACACTCTCTACGGCTTCATTAACCTTAATGTTGGCAAAAACATTAGAGCTCTACATTATTCTAAAATGCCACTG